CAGAGGCCCCACAGAGGCCCCACAGAGGCCCCACAGAGGCCCCACAGGCCCCACAGGCCCCACAGGCCCCACAGAGGCCCCACAGGCCGAGGTTCCTGTTAGCCTTGGTGAGCACACAAGCGGCTGGCTTGCTCCGTTTATTTCCTGTCCCTTCAGTTTCTTTCTCCCCGCCCCATAACCAGATCCGTACACACTCATCACAAGAACAACTGGAAAGGACATAAAAGACCAAAGACTCAGAACAGAGCCCACACAGACCCGCCTCCCCGAGGCCAGCACCAACTGGCAGCAAAGTCGGCTGACACAGCACGCAAGCTGTGCGGTCGGTCGGCACTGAGGGCCGCACCAGGCACCATCATACATGGCAGCCAGAGCTGAGACCAGAAACCAGACCTCTCAATGACTCGGTCTCCCCATGTGTAAAGGAGAGACATCACTGTGATGACTAAATGGGGCTGCATCTGGAATGAAATAAAATGTCACCTCCCAGTAGCAGGAGCCTGGCTAGAGGGGAAGTGCTTAGAACACAGGCAGCTCCTGCTGCCATGGGCCCACACTTCCTCCTCTTGCCTCCTTCCCTTTGTGAATGTGTCCTACAATAGGCCTGACTTTATCTTCTGCATAGTAAGGTCTTTCTTTACAGTGTAATGGTCTATGATCATCATTTATTAAAGTATGTATTTTACTGTTGGGTATTCTATAATTCACACTCAGAATTTTCTGGAAACTTTATTATTTTGAACAGGTCTGAGACAAGACCTCCAAAGATTTTAGACTCTTAATAAATTCCCAGTACGTGCACATGAACACATGCATGCCTGGCCATGTGGCCATGTGTGGGATCAGACAGAGGTTGACATGAGGACGTCTTTCTCAATTGCTTCTCTACATTAACCATCATCTTCATCATTATTATTAAGACAGGGTTCCTCACTGAATGTGGAGCTCACTTCCACAGCTAGACTGGCTGCCAATGAGACCCCAGATCTTTACCCACCAATGACAGGGTTACAGGCATGATGCCACACTGGCTTTTCTGGGGGTGCTGGAGATATGAACCCAGGTTCTCCCGCTTGCACAGTGCACATGTCTCAATGAGCCAGCTCTCCAGCCCCTAACACATCTGTTAGCATTCAGAATACTTTTCTCTGTGATAAGCCTTTGCAGAAACAGCTACTTCCAGTTAGATAAAAAGCTTATAAACACAGAGGTGCACATGCCTTGAATATAAACACTGAAGGCTCTTGCAAATCTACACGGCACAGAGAAGACTGTCTCAAGTACAGTGGCTCTGGACTGCAAGTGCAGTCCTCAGGGAACGACCACCCTGGTGGCCATCCTGTGAGACTCTGGCCTTGCTCTAAACCTTCTGCACTTCTGGGAGCAGTGTGGCGTTTACTTAAGTATTCAAAGCAAATTCGAAACACAGACTGCTGATTGCAGTCCGTTTCCCACTTACCCTCCCTGCCCAATGACAGGTATTATCTTCACATTTTGCTGTATGTTATCTCCATTTTTCTTCCGGGTATGATAAACTCCTTGCCACTCCTATGAACAGAATGTACATATCATTATGCTTTCAGTTTGAAACATAAATCCAGGAACATTTTCCATTTTAGCTTTGATTCATTAATCACCATGAAAGAACTTAGGATAAAAAAATGATCACAGATGAAATTCAAGTAAGCTGATATTCTTCCTCACCCTGTCAAGTCACTTGACTAAAGTCACCTCAGTGCCCTGTGGCAATCTGTTGGCAAGAGAGAAGCCCCTCACTTCACTGCACTCATGGCATGACTCTCATGGCATGAAGGAGGGACTTCCCACTCTGCCGTAGTGCTTGGTGCAGGTGTACTCAGAACTAGGGCACAGAAGAGCCCTGTGTGGCCATGACTATGCTAGGCTGTCACTAGCTTCCTACTGTGAATGGCTTTAGCCCTTCTGGACCTGGGGTTCAGTCCTTCTGCAGGGTGGGGTGCTGCGGCAGCACATCACAAAGGGGACGCTGGAAAGCCCGGGGTTGTGATTTTAGGAGCTCACATGACCAGAGGCAGGACTCCTTACAACAGAGAAGCATGGCTGAGGAGTAAATGGGGCACACCCTTCTTTGGGGTGATGAGGGTAGCCAGGGACTTGTCTTTATCAGCCAGCCAAGGATCTGGGTTCATCTGACAACTCACTTGGGGTCTAAGCTATGGAAATCTTCAAAACCTCCTGTTGGATGCTGAACTAGAGGCGCCCATAATGTTCTTGGCCCTTTAGAGCTCTGAAACCAGAGCTTTAAGATACCCAGTAGATACTGAGTCTGATTACTGGATGATGTAATTCTGAAAGCAATCATTTTTTAAGAAGACCATGTCAAAAACAGCCAGCTCTGTCTGCAGTTAGTACTGAACTGCAGCAGGTTATAAACAGCTTAGTTTTACATGCAGCTAGCCTAGGGACAGGCTGTGCCCAAAGACTAACCAGGGATCCCCAAGCAGGAAGGAGTAGGCAGTCCTCATCTCCACAGCCATGGAGTCACCCTGGAAACAGACAGCTCTAAGAGGACTATCAAAGGCAATGTGGAAAACTGTGACAAGTCCCTAGTTACCCTCATCGCCCCAAGGGAAGGTATGCACTGGTTCCTCTTCTGCCATGCTACAACTACGGATTGTGCAGTTCTGTTTGCTTGTTTGAGGTGGGCTCTCACTATGCAGCTCTGGCTAGCCTGGAACTGGCTACACAGACTAGGCTGGTCTCAAACCTGTAGTGACTTCTTGCCTCGGCCTCCCAAGTGCTATGAACTATACACTTTCAATGTGTAGACTGTATGGTGTGAGAATTACATCTCAATAGAACTGTTACACTACATGAGAAAGAAAAGAGGGAATGAAGGAAAGAGAAAGAAACAGCAGGTCAACAGAACCAAGCCACCTGAAAGATAGATTCAAAATGTCCTTCTCTAGCTCTTTCTGAAGTAACTCAGACAACTGGCAGACCCAAGCCAGGGTCTAACAGGCCATGTGAGCACCACAGTTTCCCGAAAGGAGCAGTGTTCAAGCCAGTGTCCTGGCTGGGGGAACAATGTTAAATATAAGTTTTCCAGTCACCAATATAAAAATTTAGCATGAGCCATATTTACTAATTATAAATATACAAAACATTTAGCTATGTATAATTGTGAGGTTGAACTCCTAAGAGGAAGAATACTTCCTTAGACCATGAGATTTCTAGTTGGTAAATATGACACCCAGTGAGCTCAGGAGCCAGCCTGTGTGGGGCGTGGGTGTTTTTGCACAGCCCTGTCCCCACACAAGTTCCCACTGCATACTGCCAGACTCTCACTTCTCTACTGCTGTCTGGTACAAGCTGCATGTCAGGCTGGGCTTCCAGAGCTACTGATATAGTCCCCTTTGGCAATTATTGTCACAAAATTAAGTCATTGTCATCCAGCTGTGCTGTCCCCAAGGCTGGTACTGTGCTTGCCCATGGTAAACAATCAAACAACACATGAGGCTTTTGTTTAGTGACTGAGGTCAATTACAGAATCTTGGTCACCAGGCAATCTGAACACTAACAGAGCAAAATGATATTCTTGGGATGAAGAGACCAGATGGGATTGGCCCACCATAACTGTGGGGATGTGAAGAAGACCTGGAGCAGGTCAGGGATAGACAGTGCACACTCAAAGCAAGCAAATTAGCAGCCAACAGGATTGATGAACCTGAAGGAGGCAAAAGGCAGAGGGATCAGTTTATTCCAGGGATCAAGACAAGGTATGAAGACAGCCTATGAACAGAGAGAGTGACTAAAAGAGATACTGGGATTTTTATTTATGAAAGGCAAGAGGAAAATCATTCTCTGACAATTTAATTTCAAGTGACAGCAGGCTACTGAGGGACAAGAACAAGGGGGCAAAGGTCAGAGTCCAGGTAATTTGTGGAAGAAACAGAGGAAAGTGGAGTAGGGAAGTGGACCTTGTCAGTGAGGAAGGAAGAGGATCACAGGAAATAAAGTAGGTCAAAGAGTCCTGAGGCCACATATCAGCACTGACAGGCATATGAATGGCCAATGTTTATCCTGCACTAAGTGCATGCGTGCACATATGTGTGTTTCAGGGCTGGGGCAATAAAAGAGGAAAAGTCAAACTGTCTAGACAGGATCTAGCTCCCTGAAAGATAGGAGATTATAAGTCCCCAACAGGGGAATTATGGGGAAGAAGGAAATTTATACAGAAAGGCATGGATGTGAACATAAAAATTCACGTTAACATTTCTATCTACCCCAAAGAGGCAAGGGCTGAAAGGGCTGTGGGGTGATAAGTGTCTGCAATACTCTACCCCAACAGCAGGGGATCTCTCTTCTGGCCCAGAGTTTCCAAACTGTGACATTCTAATGTCTACAGTTCTGGCCAGCTGACCATTTGCTGAATCTCCTCTCTTCTGCCATGCTGGGTCCCTGGTGGACATTTGAATTCTCCTTGCTGATCACAGCACTGTGGTTCCAGAAGGCCATTGACCCCTCCACGAGACCTTCCCCTACAGAGATGGAACTGGACAGATGTCTGTCCTCTCACTGCAGTGAACCAACAGACTGCTGAGTGGGTAGAATTACCTTTTCACACTCCCTAAAACCTCTGAAATACACTAAATAAACAGCTAGATTCCTTTTAGAAATAGAGTAGCAAACAGGCCAATAACATGAAAGTCTTCCTGGGTTTTGTTTTCTGCTATTCGGACTTGAGGCTTCTACCGGCAGAAGTGAGACATGGTGCACACAAACCTGACACAGTGACCACATGCCCTGTCACCATTGGCTCTCCTCAGAAAGAGGGACCCAGCTTGCCTGACAGGGGTCCAGACTAGTTTATACCCAACAACAAAATCACTAGCTAAAAAAAAAAACAGCTCGGCGTCTTGGAAAACACCTCTAATCCCAGCACTGGAGAGGCAGAAACCTGTGGGTCTCTGTGAGTTTGAGGGCAATCTGGTCTATAGAGAGACTGACTCAAAACAAAATAAAACAAAACCTCTGGCTCCAAGTATTACCAAATGAAAAGAAAAAAAATGACAGACTTGTACGCCATGGGAAAACCCTAAAGAGGACACGTCTTCCAACTCAGTGTGTCAGGACCCTGAGGTCTCTATGCTCATCTCAGTCTTTAGTTCTCTCCTCAGAAGACTCTCTGCTCCTTTCAGTAAGACAGACACCACCCTGAACTTCAAACCTGAAGGCAAGTAGGATCCAAGCTGTGCCCACCTATGGTTCTTTCCTCTCATTATACCCCAAGCCTGGCACCAGGGCGGTGCTGACAGACCACGGGAAAGGTCTGGCTGACTGCACCTGCTCCTTCTGTCTGCTCCTTTAGCACTCTGATTACACTTCTCACAGTCAACAACCATCCCTTCTGTTTCCGACTCTGGAAAATGATTCTCAGAGGCAAATGTTCTTGTTTTGACCATCCTTCTGTGGCAGGATTCAGCACGGTGCTTCGTCCACAGCTGGTATTTGAAAATTGCTCAGTGAGTGACTGAGGCTCAGACAAGAGTGTCCTGCCTCACTGACAGCCCTTTCCCAGAACTACGTGCCAGCATCTACCACGTAAAAGATCAATTATCAGGTATACCAACTTTCCAGGAAGCCAGGGTTGCACAGAGAAACCCTTTCTTCAAAACACACACACACACACACACACACACACCAACTTATCCACACTGCTCAGATAAAAACACCGACTTTAAGGTCAATCCCAGCAATTGTGCTTGCTGGCTAATCAATCACAGTGCATCCTCGGCTTCCGCTCTGCATCTGTAAAGTGAGAGTGACAGGACATCTGGGGACAGGGTAAGGCCGAGGCCACTCCTACACATGGTGCTCAATGAACACCAGGTCTTCCCTCCTTACCCAGAAGTGATAACGGTACTAGCATCTTACTTACCTTGTCAATTGTGACACATGAATTTATGGCATCAAGCAAATCACCTTTCTTGTCATTTATGGGCACTTGTGCTAACTCCTTCCCTATTAATTCTCCTGACTGATAACCCATTGTTGTTTCAAATGCAGGATTTGCATACTGGAAAGAGACAAAAGAAAAATTAAGTGAACTTAAAGATGTTTTGAAAAAATAAATGTTTTCTACCTAAGTACCACCCCCACCTCGTGAAAACCCAGAAGCTTGGATTTCATCATGAGTGTTCTATAGCCACGAGAGCATTGCATTCTGGGAAGCTTCTGCTTAGGTGACACATGGCTGGGCTTTCTGCTGTGTCCTTCTGAGACTCCAGAGTGACAGAAGGATCACTCCAACTTCAGTGAAGACCAAGGAAGGCATGTTCTCAGCACAAACCCAGGCTGCTACACCAGAGCTGTCCGGATGGAACTAGAGTGAAATAATGTACCAGACGGGGGTATAAAAACCCCCAGGCTTTGCCCTCCAGACTCCTGCAAGTAATGTCACCCCTGTGCTCATCTGGATGAGGAGAATAAAACATGCCTCTCTGGTACGATTCAAGTGAACAATATATGGAGATCAGCTACAACACAGAAAGTAGTTATATATGAAAAGTGTGAGGATAAGTTTCAAATAGATTAAAAGGCAAGAAAAATCCACGAGAACATTGAGCATGTATGGATGGTGATAAAGCAGAGGCCGACAGTCATGTGCAGGGCCTGTTCTCCTCACTAGACACTTCAGCAAACACGTTACACACATGAGCTCCAGAAACCCCCAAACCTTATGAAAGGCTCTGCTTCATAGCACAGCAATGGGCAGCTGACAGTGCTGTCACTCCATTTATATGCAGAGAAGGCAGATTCAGGTACATTAAGTGACTTGCCCAAAGATGCACCACTGTCTGAGGTGGACAGAAGCCGGGGCCCTCAACTCCTGGCCCGAGCTGCCTCTTAGCACCGACTCCCAAATAATGCCAGCACCAGTAACAAAAGGAGCCATAAGTTAAGATGCAATGAACTACAATCAAAATGGATTTCCTTCTCAGATAAAAGGAATCCTTCCTGGAACAGCTATCCTGGAGCAGTGAGAGCTATGTTATCTTTATAGGTATCTATTTATCTCTTATAGAAACCAGCTTTGCTAATAATGGTAGCCTAGTCTGTTATTTTCTGATTTTTTAACTGTTTTTAGTAAATTTTTACAAGTTTAAACTGCCTCCAAAAGCAGTGAGGAAAGACGTAAACACAGTGAGGAAAGCTTGTGTGTGGCCAGCCTGGCACACGCCTCTTGAGTAAGTCTCTCCTGCTTAGAACACCCCGCCATCCCGGGAGAATGAGACAGGATCAGCCACTGCTACACATCTGCCTCCATAAGAAATTGGTTTCTTATCTAGAGAATTTATTTTAAATTACATATTTTATTATTTTGCTCTTACAGTCATCTGGGGGAGGTGGGTAAAATGGGCTCTTGAACTTCCAAAAGAAAAAAAAAATCAAACTGTGGGGCTATAATCCTAAAAATAAGAACAAACAAAATAAACGCAGAGCATAGATTGCCAGAGGAACAAACCTGTATAATGTGGTCTTCACTCGTGATTTCAATTGCTTCTTGACTTTTCTCTAACGCAGTAAACACTGAGTTACAAGCCCTTTATGGATAAAAACAAAAGGACTAATGAACGTATCTACATTAGTCACAGTTATCAAGTCCAACACAATCGGGGGCACTACAGTAGCTTGCTTAGGTATCCAGAGCCTGGCTTACTGAGGTGAACATGCTCATTCAGAAAGAAGGAATGTCTGACAACATTAAGAAGAGCTTCTGCAGCCCTAGCACTGTGGACAGCCCTAATGCTGCATACACCAGGATGCTCACACACCACTGCAGCCATGGCCCCCTGAGCACCAGGAAGGTTTTTCAGCATCAAAGAACCTTCAAAGACTAAATGAGAGAAGAGGCAAGGCTGCTGCCCAGACTGGCAGAGGGGAGGTAGCCGGCCACATTTGGAGGTATTGGTTTAAATAATTATTCTCACAGTACGGGTTGGGGGGGGGGCAGGGCACGGGGTGCTCAGCTTTGTTGCCTGCTCTCTTCTCTTAGTCTTACCCTGTGAGCATATTCCCACCCTGCTCATGTTTTAAATGCTTTCTTAATTATATAGGTAACAAATGTTTACTGACTGAAGCTAGAAAAAATAAAGTAGCTCATCATTCCACTGTAAGGATAAGGTGACAGATATTAGTGAGACCATCATGCACTGCTTGTAGAGATGTAAAATCGGCACTACCCCCATTCTGGAAAACAGTCTAGAAATTCTTCCAATGGTTAAACATAAAATTATCGCATGATGCAGTGGTATCTACGACTGATTTTGTACTTAATAAAAGTAAGAACATCTGTGGAGACTGAGACTTGTTCATAACAGCTGGCCAGTACTAATAGCTCAGATGTGCACCAACAAAGAATGAATAATAAAATGTGATATGTGCATATAATGGAATGCTATACAGATATAAAACCAAGTGAAGTCCTGTTATCTATGCTATAGTATAGATGTGCCTTAAAAAGATACCCAAATGCAAGAAGTCAGTTACACGGGGCCACACACTGTATGATTCCATTTATATGAAATGTTTGAAACCAGCAAACCTAAATACAGAAAGCAAAATAAGGGTGTGGGCCTGGAGCTGGTAAAAATGTTCCAGAAGTGTGCTGGTGAGTGCACAGCTCTGGGACACAAGGAAACCACTGAGTGACCCTTAAGTCGGTAAATGGGATGGCGCATGACATCTGTCTCACAAGGCTGTTCAATAAATGAGGGGAAACATCTGAAACCCAGAACTTAGACAGGCCAACATCAAGCACTCTGGGAAGTTTCTTGTACAAACGTGCATGTCAACATGTACATTTATAAAGATGCAGACGTTCTGGCAGCTTTATCATCTCCTTCCCTCTCTGAACGTATCAGTGACCATGGCTCTCTATCACCGTGTTTAATCACCGTAATATTTTGTTGTAAGCTTACACCAAAATATTTTTAACAAAGCCCTATGATGAGGCACATGGGCTGCTTCCAGGCTGTTGTCTTAGGTGAGGGATCGTCCAAAGCATAACCACAAGGCTCTCTGGCCTCACGAGACTAAAAACACAAGTGACTGCCTGCTTATCCACAAAGTGCGGAGAATAGATGAGTAAGAACTTTAAAAGCAACAATGCTTTTTCATTCTTCTTGCTCAAAAAGGCTGTTATTGAAGACAAAAGGAGCCCGTGAGAGGCTGCAGGGGAAAGGTCCTCCTGCCAACCTCCACAACCTGAGTAGGGTCTCCAGGACTCATATGGCTAGAAGGAGAGAAAAGACTCCCTCAGGTGTCCCCTGACCTCTACACATACACTGTACATGCCACATCCATATACACAAACCCACAATATAAATAAACCCATTTTCAATAAAAAGAAAAATTAGAAGCAAGGAGCTGGAGGGACAACCCAGTGGCTGAGAGCACTTACTACTCTTCCAGAGGACCTGAGTTTGGTTTCCAGTTCCACATCAGACAGCTCACAACAGCCTGTAAGTGCAGCTTCATGGGACCCAACACCTTCCTCTGGGCTTTGAGAACACCTGCAGTCATATGCATAATGCCTACCCACCCCGCCACAACACACACATATACACCTAATTAAGAATAATAAACTTAATATTGATTTTTTTAAAGTGAAGGGGCCAGAGATGGCTTAGCATTCCAACCATGTGCTGCTCCATCAGTACCATCAGCTCCATTCCCAGCACCCAGGTCAGGCAGCCATAAGTGCCTGCCACTCCAGCTCCAGGAGAACCTGATGCCTCTGGTTCCTGCTGGCATCTGTACTCATTTACACAACCCCGAACACCCATACACATAATTAAAAATAAAGCCTTAAAAACAAAACAAAATAAACAAAAACAATTGGTGATTGGCTCAGTTGATAAAAGTACTTGGGAGACAGAAGCAGGCACCAGCCTGGTCTACATGGTGAGTTCCAGGCCAGTCAAGGCCATATAGTAAGATCCAGCCTCAAAATTAAACAAACAACAACAAAGCACAGACAGAAGTTCCCACCTCTGATGTGAGCAGCTTAGAGGACTTGGGCCTGTAGGAAACCACACTGAGATGCTCACTCTTCCTCAACCAGAGCAGAACATCAGGTGGAAGGAAACACTACGCTTCTCTTCTCCGTTCTTAATTTTTTGACTGCTAGTTCAAGTGACGTTCTTTTTGTGTTTTCTGACTTGTGAACTGCTTGTGCATAGCTTCAAATATTTTTTACTGGAGTATTTCATTATTTGACTCATCAAAGCTCCTTATTTAAGATATTAACCTAATTAATGTCTGTTGGATATGCAACAAATAATTTTGTTTTCTTTCAAGTATATAAAAGCCCAATGTTTTTCTGCTACTTGATTGGTTTCTCTTCCTCTGTGGAACCCAGTCTTTATGCTATGGTGACTCTAAGATTGCTTCATCATCCAATCAAATATTTTGCTTATGTTTTTTAGCATTTAGCATGGCTCTACATTTAGGCTTTTAGTTCACTGTCGGTTATTTGGGGTAGGGAATCAAACTGGGTACATTAATTTCTTTTTCAAATAATTAAGACAGCTGTCAGAGTCCTATGCACTGAAAAGCTCGTCTTTGTGTTGACTTAACTGCCACGCTGATCAGCCTCAGTCTTTACAAACAAGGCTGCTGTTTCCTGTTTCCAGCACCTGGCAGAACAGGTCTCCCTCTATTCATCATCTCCAGCCCCGCATCTCCTTTCCCTTTGTATTTTTTCTCTTTTCCTTTGTAATGTACATCTCTGTTGGCGGTCAGCTAGAACAAGGCATGATGGGAGATGAGAAAGGCATGATGGGAGATGAGTGTAGATTCAGGAGAGTCGTGGGGGCCACCTCTGGGAATCTGGACTCAGCCTTGAACTCAGTAGAGGATTGCAAGACAGCAACACCAATGCCGTGTGAAGAGAGGAGGCCTGAGGTAACGGCAGGGAGCCTGACTGAGAAGTCAATAACCCAGGCAACAGACAGCGGCCTTACTCCAAGGGTAAGTGAAGACAAAAGTAACTGACTCGAGTCCGGAGAAACCCACAAGAGTTGGGACGGGATGCAGTGAGAACATGATTCAGCACTGGGTAAAGGAGACCCAGGGGTTTCAGTGCAGGGCCATATGCTGGTGCTACTGTGTACACTACGCTAAGGTATTGAGGAAGAAATTTTAAGTTATCAACTTCAGGAGACGGGGAAAGAAAACAACTATAGTATTAGAATTGTAAATTACAGGCCAGGTGTGCTGGATGCACACATTTGATTCCAGCAACTCAGGAGGCAGAGGCAGGCAGATCTCTGTGAGTTTATGAACAGCCTACAATAGACAGTGAGACCCTAACTCAAAACAGATACAAGTACAAGTGAATGTGAGTCACAAACCAATGAACTGACTGCTGGTGACTGCTGTGGGCGCTCGGCTGAGAGTCACGTGACTTTACTCACCCAGCCTTTAAGCATTTCTGCTTAGTGATGATGTTTCTACCCTGATTGTAGTAATTCATTTCATTCTAAGAAGTGCATGTCTTTCCTGTATATGGGGCCATGTACTGCTTCCTACAAACTGAACACTCCAATTTCGATAGCTTTTCATCTGCCTTAGGCATATACATACAGAACAATGGCCTCTCTCTTTGATCCCCAATAAAAATGCTAACTAGTTGGACACAGAAGAGATATGGAGTGAGGAGAATGGCTGGCTTTATTCTCCTGCAAACCTAGGAGCATTTAAAAACCTTCTCTTACTTGATTACTTGATATACAAATATCTAGGCTTCTACTTGTTTCTTATTTAAAAGAACAAAGTCTCAGCCGCACGTGGTAGCAAAGGCCTATGATCCAAGCACTCAGGAGGCTAAGAAATGAGGATTCCAAGTTCAAGGTCAACCTTGGCTACGCAGCAAGTTCCAGACCAACCTATGCTACATGAGATCCTGTCTCAACTACAAAAGGAGAATTATTGACAAAATTGGTAATGTAGAGTAGGAAAAAAAAATACCAGTTGCCAGAGAAAAATGGCACTATATTGGGTATGGTATGTTTAAAGTATTTTCCCCTTAGCATACAAAACAGAAAATCCAGTATGTGTGGTTTTGTACCTTACTTTTTTCTCATTTACTACTGCTTTGAGGCCTCAAGTTTAAATGGGAGTCACTCATCAGACATTGAGTAGGATTCCAGAAAGTCTGCTGAGAAGCACTGGCAGCCCAGTATCATTATATCTTAAAACAATTATAACAACAACAATGACCGTGACGTGACGTGTAGAGGCCAGAGGTCAGCACTGGGCATCTTCCTCAGTTGCTCTCCACTTTATTTTTTGAGTCACAGTCTCACGTTGAACCTGAACTTGCTGATGCAGCTAGACCTGCTGGTCAGTAGGCCCCAGGAGTCATCTTCGGCGCAGGGATGACGGACACCCCGACTTTTCACATGAATTCGGGTCCTCATGTTTGCACGGTAAGCCCTTTACTGACAGCCAGCTTAGACCTCTTCTACTGTAACTGCTATCAGTGATGGCCCAAAAACCTTTGCTTGCAAGTTTGCCCTGGGGTCTAGAGGGCTTTTTTTTTCCCCCAGGACAGAATTACCTGAGTTTCAGTTGTGACCGCACCTCTCCAAACGCCAACTGGAGCAGTTCATTGTAACAGGACATGACGTTGGGGTTTTCTACATACCTCTACAAACAGAAAGGGGAGCTTTGTAGATAAAGAAGCACCTTTGATGTATGCCACAAAAGAAATTCTAAACAAGCCTTCAATTTGGCTACTAAAATTTTAAAAACTACTTTGTAGTCATTAATGTACAACAGAAGATGAGAGATGAAAGTTAAAATATACCAAATTAGCTTTAAAATTAGAAATACTAAGGTTCTCTGGTTAACCAGTCTTGCTGATAGGATTTTCAAGGAATTTCTCAAGTAATAGACAAACTGCTGTACACAGAAGCACATTTATACTTCTGCTTACATCTGTGGCTCAAGGAGGGAACTCCTACCTGAGTGACATTCTCCACTAACTGCCAAAGGAGCTGACTGGTGAGAATGTTGCCCAGTGTCTCTTACTGCTGTGGACACTAAGTATTCTATATGGTAACCTTTACATCATGGAAATATCCCATAACAAAGCAGACTGCATAGTTACAAGAAATTGGATCCATTCTACCATCAAATAATGTATTTCATTATGGTATTTTAGAAGTCACTGTGTTGTCACATACCTACAGGTCTCAGGGTAACCGCAGAGGGTATAACCCCCTTATAGAAAATAGCACAGTATTTACATATAAATGCTATCTTCCTGTATACTTTAATGACCTCCAGAATATGTATACCACCAAACACAAGGTAAATGCTATATAAACAGTTGTCATACTGTATTACATTGGGAATGGTAACAAGAAAAAGTCTACACACATTCACATGTGGAATGCTCTTTCCTGAATACTTTAGGTCTACAATGAGTCTACTGGTACAGAACTGGCTAACAGGGGACTCATGGCTAAAGGTCTAGCGATAGTTTCATTCTGAAAGAAGACACTCATGAGCAGATTCACTCCTGTTTCTGAAAAGAGTTCTTTGTTTTTACCTGCACAGTAAATGAATAGCAACTCTGGCTAAGGGGACACTGAGCGCTTACCAATCCCAGCCAATCCCAGCCAATCCCAGCCAATCCCAGCCAGATCAATACGGGACATGGGCTGCTTAAGGAGGTCCCTCTGCTGCCAAGGTGAAGGCAGATGTGCATCATCTGTGTCTTGTCTGAGTGACAACAATCTAGGTCATGTGGACATGCCAGTTAGAAGCTGCATAATCCTAATGAGACACTTCCCGAGCTTGCCTCCTCGCCTATAAATGAGAAGTAATGCTGTTTCTACCCACCAGACCTCCGTAAGGACAGAGATGGCAGGAGGAAGCATTCTGCCTCCAAACTGCTACAGGAATGAAAACATCAGGTAGCAGGGCTCCATGGTTAAGGCACTGGCTGCTCTTTCAGAGGACCCAATTTCTATTACTAACACCTAGATGGTAGCTAACAATCATCTGTAAGTTCTGGGGAATCTGACACCCCATTTCTGCTCTGCTGGCACCAGGTACATACATACACAGTGCACAGATACACATGCAGGCAAAACACCCATAACACAGAGATAGAAATCCTTTTTTAAAAGAAAGAAAGAAAGAAAGAAAGAAAGAAAGAGAGAAAGAAAGAAAGAAAGAAAGAGAGAGAGAGAGAGAGAAAGAAAGAAAGAAAGAAAGAAAGAAAGAAAGAAAGAAAGAAAGAAAGAAAGAGAAAGAGAAAGACAGACAGTGCTATCATAGCAGGGAAGAGGCAAGGACTGAGGCCCAGGCACACAGTAGGGCTGCCCACTTATAGGCTAAGCCCTTCTCACCCAGAGATCAGGGATGACTTTCCTTCTAGTGCTCACCTCCTGACGGATGCAGAGCACGGACCTTCTGCCCATAGCAGCCAGGACTTCAGGGAACACCCAGGATGGCTGTCCATACATATGTGTGCCTACACCTGACTAGCCAGGGACAGCAAGGAGGGTATTTCTGGGTACAGTGCGCATGCTGCTCAACCAGATGGGGTGGAGGCCTTGAGACAGACAAGGATCGCCAATCTGCTCTGCCAGTGAGACCTTGGGATAACTCTGACTGAGGAAGAAACAGAGCTCTTAGACTTCTGTCTACCAGTCTAGCCAGATCAATATGGGGCAGAGACAGAAATCATGTCTGTCTGTCCACTTCAATAAATAGCCTACCATGTAACCAGATTTTTCACTGGGTAGAAATGTTACATATCTACCAAACTATTTTCACCCTCAACTATTTATCCAGTGCTGGGATTACAGGTATGTGCCCCGCACCCATCTATTCTCCCATGCGTTTTGATTTTGTTTGTGTTTCAGTGCTGGGGCTCAAACCCAAGGCCTTCTACATCCTAAGCAAGTTTTCTTCCACTCGCCATGTCCCCATCTCCCATAGCTCATCTACAGTCAGCTGGCCAAAATCCTGAGAAGCCTTTGGTTTAAGAGAAACCAGTAGGCAGAGGTGAAGTAGAGGGTGAGCAGCCAGGGCTTGGGTTGCTTCTTTTCCAGAATCACTGAGCTTACTTCATAAATTTCAATTTCACATAAAAGCATTGTAATATAATTTGTAAATGAGTATGTCACTGCAGGTCATTTTATTACTCTGGCAGGCATAGCTGAGACTAAGGAAATGAAGTGTTACAGATTAGACTATCAGATTTCAAAATCAAAACAAACTGTGACACAGAACAGGAACAATTTTTTTTTCTTCAAAATAATTAAAAATTTTTTTGCTAGACACTGAATTGAGGTAAAACTTTCTCACACTGAATTACACTTGTACATCTAAGAGATAGGTACATACCCGTGTGAAGCCAGCAGCAAGGAAGGGCATTAAAGACACCTCTTCTTTGTCCACCCTTCAAAGGAAGATTCTAAGGGTTAGGTAGTGTTCGCCAATTTACATAATCTTCAATAGTCACATAACAAATACTTTCAAATGAACTGGATATATGCATACTAAATTAAAAATGAATTTCTTGTCTCAATTTAGTATTTAGCATTTTGGCAGGATATTTTTATAACCTGTTTAGTGGGGATAGAGGCTTGCTTGTTACTCAGACTGGCCTTAAACTCCTAGGCTCAAGCCATCAATCATTTTCCTGGGCCTCCTGAATACTGGACCACAGGTGCCTGGGTTACACCTAGGTATTTTAATACTTTAAATACAAAGGTTATGTTAACAACTGAATAGTGTCCAAGCATATACTTAATATATAAATCTCTCTATATTGAAACTATTAAATTCTCCTCTCTTCCATGCTGAAAATACTAAAGGGCACGGAAGCATGTCTGTCTCTACTGATTAGAAATGGCGCATACTTAAGGATTTGGTCTTCTTTGTATAGTCCCCTCTCCTTGCTATAAGTTGAGAAGATTCCCTGCATTTACATGTCACCCAAATCCTGACGGATACTTGAATTAAAGGTCCTACAAAGACCCTTCTTCACAACCTTTACCCTTAAGAAGATGGAATTTTCTTAATAGTTTGCCTGCGAATGGCAGTTCAAAGTCAGAAAACTAAATCTGAGAGCTGAAGTCCCTCTCTGAGGTCAAGCAAAGAAGAAAAATAAAATGCTACAGAGTGATGAAAGCCAGACTTCAAAGGGGCTCTCCTGTCACAGGCAAGCCCTTATTCTGCCATCTGTTGATAACACTGCATTGATATATAAATTTCAACATTAAAAAAAATGTTTACCTGCGTACTACACCAACAATAACTGTGTTTTCTGAGAATTTTGACGATCTGATAGACCTTAAAAAAAAACAAAGTTTTAAATAAATACAAAAACAATTCTTAAAAATAAATATACTTTCATAGTTTTAGCTGTACAATTACAGTGGGGAGGGAAACAAGAAGAGGAAGGGCTCCCTTTACACTGTGGGTTCACCGTCTCAGCTACTTGATCTTTCCTGGGGATAAACTCATCAGTGAACCCTAACAACCATGACAACTATCGTGTACAAATGAAACTCTAAGAGGACACTTTGTGCATTAACCCAGGGGACACGCTCCCCTATACTGTACTTACTAGAAAGGGGCCACAATCTTTTGTCTCCTCCCAGGAAGGAAGTGCAAGCTTCTCCTGCCTCTGCAGACTGTGGGGGTCACAGCAACCAGGGGCCAGCTTGTCAAAGAATGAAGAATTCTTTTTTTCTCTCCTTATTTACTCATTTGCTTTGCATCCCAATCGCAGCCCCCCTTCCTCCTCTCTTCCTAGACCTCAGTTCCCCTTCCCTCCTCCCCCCATTCCCCTACCCATTCTCCTCTGAGAAGGGAAGGGCCCCCCATGGGTACCAACCTGCCCTGGCACATCAAGCTAGGTGTATCCTCTCCCACTGAGGCCAGACAAGGAAGTCCAGCTATGGGAAAGGGATCCAAAGACAGGCAACAGAGTCAAAACCCCCACTCCAGAGAGAGTGTTGTGGAAGAGTGGAGGAAGGACTGAGGGAAACGGAACAGTCAAGGACACCTCAAGAAGACCTACAGAGTCAACTGACCTGGGCCCATGGGAGCTCATAGCGATTGAACCACCAACCAAAGAGCATGCATGGGCTAGCCACAGGCCCCTGCACACATGTGACAGATGTCTCCATGTGGGTCCCCTAACAAGAATGAAGAATTCTAAGATAAATTAGAGGTGAAGCACACTCTGTCCCTCCTGCCAACATGGTTGGGAAACCATAGCTAGCTGATCAGCCTGTCTTAAAGGGGCATCAGGAGTTAGAGCACATGCCTCCAACAAGCTCACAGAAGCTTTGCCACTCCTGAGGGCAACACCATGTTTCTATGAGAGTCCACCTCAGCATCCCAGTAGAGCAAACAGCACTGGGAGAGAATAAAAGCTCCTTCTCACCACCTCCCTTCATTGCTACTTTAGCTGCAGAGACTGTATATGCTGAGCACAGCGCACAGATTGCTCCTGATTGGTCTCTACAACACAGCAGAGACCGTTACAGAGGCTCACTATATAGCTTAGCCTGGGCTCAAAATTCTGAATGTCTGCCCCTACCTCCTACATGGAGGATGAGAAGCATGTGCTACCATGCCCAGAGTACCAGTGTCTTAACTACCTAGAGTAGAGTCCAAAGACTGGCTCAGCACACTGGGCCTTTGCATCTGGCTCTCGTCTTGTTGAGCCACCCAACAGCAGTCTGACCAGCAGCTGTGAGCACCTGCAGAGGGCCTAGGCACCCTACTGCTCCTCCTCCGTCTGCTGCCCTTCCTCCACCATTATTCTTTTCAAAGCTCCTGTCCACCCTCACTATTCAACTCAAATGTCTTCTCTCAAGCTCGCTTTCCCTTCTACATCTCTGTGAACTCACCTGCCTGTCTCTGTATGGCTTGACTACGTGCCCTCCAAAATCTATGTGTTGCCAATGTGATAGTATCAAGAAGTAGGGCCTGAAGAACTCCAGTCATTCGGGCTGCTCTCCGGTGAATGACATCAAGGCCCTTATAAAGGAGATTTCACATAGCCAGAGGATGCAGCCAGGCAACTGGACCTACTAGTAGTACCATTAGCCTGGTTTTCTCAGCCTTGAGAACTATGAAAAAAATTTTTTGTTCTGTGTTGCTGTTAATACTTGTTTTTATTTTATTATTTGTGTGTATAAATGTGTGTCTTGTGTGTGCCATGCATGTATAGGGGACAGTGGAGCCAAGAAAAAGATTGGATTTCCCTACCCTTCCCCCAGTTAGAGTTACAGGCAGTCAGCGAAGTGCGGTGACACACACCTTTAATCCCAGCACATGGAGGCAGAAACAGGCAGATATCTGTGAGTTCAAGGCCAGCACAGAGTGAGTCTGCAGAGTGAGTTCCAGGACAGCCAAAGCTACACAGTGAGACTCTGTCTCTGGTGGGGTAGGGATGAGAGGAGCTTTGTGAGCAGCTGTGAGCCACCTGACTTGGGTTCAGAGAATTGCCCTCAGGACTTCTCGAAGAGCAATAGGTGCTCTCAGCCACTGAGCCGCCATCTTTCTAATTCTTTATCAAGTATCTAGTCTCAAGTTTTCTGTTATAGTCACAAGAAACAAAGATACTCTATGTATGAATTACTTTTCTTGTGCTATGACCAATTACCCGACAAGAAGCAACTTAAGGAAAAAGTGCTTCATTTTTATTGATGATTCAGAAGATACAGTCCATCACAGTGGGGAGCCTGTGGCAGGACCATCAGAGCTGTGGCAAAGGGAACTTACATCTTGCAAATCAGGAAGCAGAGGGGAGGGATTCTAGAGCTCGGTGGAGCTTCCTTTTCCCTTTTTACTTACTCTAGGACTCTAACCCAGGGCACAGGACCCCCCACACTCAGAGTGTGTCTTACCCCTCTCAACTGATCCTCTTAGGAAATGCCCACACCGACACTCACAAAGATAACTTGCTAATGCCGTCAGCATGCCTTAGTTGGGTCAGGCTGACAGGTTGACGGGCTGAAACTTACCATCACACGCTACAGCGACATCGTCAGCCCCTCGGAGGCGAGATGCATGCTTTGTTCATCCTTACGGCTACAGTACCACACGTAGTGCCCAAACCAAGACTCACAAAGTAAGGCTCTGGATCAGGCTTTGAAAATGTAACCTACAAAAGCACTTGGCCTTCAAGAAGATACTGCACAGGAGTTCCAAACACCCAGTAAAGAGCTACAGGTGAATGATAATGTGGACAGGTCAGCCACTAATGGAATACTTTTTGCAAGCTGGTATTGCATAAGAACCTTCAAACAGAGGATAAAGGAAGAACAGAGCCCTGTCAGGCTAAGGTCTCAGGTCTCATGGGCTTCAAAGGTCTGCTGAAAGCAAGGAAGGTCAGTTGAGGAATGAGATTCTGGAGAAATTTTTTGATGAAACAGTTCATTTTTGGCAGGTGCCTTTGCAAAGATGATTTTTTTTTTTAAGGTTTTTCAAGACTGGGTATCTCTGTGCAGCCCTGGCTGTCCTGGAACTCACTCTGTAGACCAGGCTGGCCTCGAACTCAGAAATCCACCTGCCTCTGCCTCCCAAGCACTGGGATTAAAGGCGTGCACCACCACTACCTGGCTGCAGAGATGATCTTAAGAGAGACAAACCAGATAGAGGTTGAAACCAAGATGAAGCTGGCATGAAAAAAAACATCAGGGCCTGATCTTGTCTCTAGGAAACTCACTAGGGATGACACAAAGACCCCCCTACACACACACTCTCACCCCACAAGATGAAATGGTAGAAAGCTAACAAGACAGACCCGAGATTCCTGACCAGGGCCTGTCAGAAAAAGAATATGATCAGGGACCATATTTTTTAAAGGTCTGTTCTTCACTGGCCAGTCAAATCTACTGTGTACTGTTCAGTTCTGGAGTTACCCAAGAGCTACCAGTTTTTAGAGGGCTTGTCATATAATCATGAGGACCCAAGTTTGAATCCCCACTACCCGAGTATAAAAACCTGACATGACAGCAAGCATTTATAAGCCCAGGACTTGGGAAAGGTAGAAAGAGGCAGATCCCCAGAACTTACTGGCCTGCAAGCCTAGCTGAAAAGATGAGACTCAGGGCTGGTGAGAGACCCTGTCTCAATAATAAAGCAAGTGGCAAATGCAAGAGGACACCTATGTCAGCCTCAGGCTTCCACGTATACACTTTCACACGAGCATACACATATATACCACATAAAAAGAGTCTTTTAAAATAGTCTAGAAAATTATAATCATTCCTTTTTTAAGTAATATTCAAATGGTAGTTTGGATTAAATAAATATTGGTTTCAGCTTAACCCTAATGGTTGTCATTTATATTTTCTTGCTATTGTTTTTTTATTATTATTATTATATGTAAGTACACTGTAGCTGCCTTTGGACACCCATATGAGGGCATCAGATCTCTTTACAGATGGTTGTGAGCTTTGTGCATGCAAAACAATCTCTTACTGTTTTAAATAGAGCAAGCAAGACAATTAAGAAATAAAGATTTAGTCCTAGAAACAACAAAATTATAATGCCTTGCTTATACTGCATACGAGGAAAGGGAGATTGAATTTAACTTCGTGTGTTTACAGCCTGCCTCTACTGTCATAAGGACCCACGGGACTCTGTCGCCGGACTGCTGGCTTACCTGCACAGTGCCTCTGCGTCCATCTGTCGGGGATTTCTGTAATCTATGATGATGATGTCATGGAGTTTATCCTGGAAACAGGCAAGGACAGCCTGCACCTCCTTGGTGACTGTGCACTTAAACCCGGCTTTTTCACATGCCCTGGAGAATCCATTACACTGGTTATCTTCTTTGGTAAACACTAAAAGTACCTGGATCAGAAGAGCACAAACACATTTTTAAAAATCTTGTTATAACTGTCATTTTTAAAGAAGCCTCAAAAAATTCTTAAATGTTTAGGACACAAAATATGAACATAACATCTGTAACTACACATTCTTTTCTTACATATAACTCAGAGACATTAGCATTCAAATTGACGAGCCAATGCTAAAGTGTCTAGGCTGGAAGTCCAAGTGCTTGGACATACGCTTACTCCTCTTGCTGATAATGCATTGATAGGACTCAATAACGACTTGTCAGACATTTTATTTTAAAATTGAAGCAAAATACAAATTTACATTAGCAAACCGAAAGTTAACTAAGTATGACAAGGCTGCTATTCTAGTGAAATACCTCAGATGGTAAATGCAAGTATTTTAGTGAAACTGTTGGAACACATAATCCTTAAATGATGAACTTACCACGTTCTGACTCAAATGTTATGCAATGCCTCCATGTTGACAAGTCATTTGAATATGAGAGAAGAGTTGAGGACTACAATGTTACAGGTGAGGTCTGCTGGGTAAGTGACATACATGGACACAGACCCCAGACAACCTGCGCACCATCTGTGCCAAGGCCAGGATGATAAGTGCTTGTCTTGGTGCCTGGCCTATACCACGTAAAGCCTGGATCTGCTGCCTCTCCCCTATTCAACCAGGCCTCCAGCCAAATCAGGTTCAAAGCATCTCTGCTTCATCCCCTTCAGGGCTGGTCTCCATAGAAGACAAAGGTTGTGATGGAACAGCAGCCTTGCAGACAGAGGTTGACTACAAAACCAAAAGATATCCTTTACTTCCTTCAAAGTTTGCCCAACTGTTCAGATACCACTGATGCAAGGAACCAAGAACACATGCCTCTGTCAGTCTCCTTCACAAGGTTAAAATACAACAACAAAAATAGTTCATGAGCGGGAAGCTTCAAATAACTTGGCTGCCTTTTATCCCTTTTTAAAGATTTATTTTTGATTAATGGGTACAGGTGTTTTCCCTGCATGTACATATGTGTACCACATGTAAAAGTGCCCACAGAGTCCCAGAAGAAAGTGTCAGAGTCCTCAGCACAGAGTTACAGACAGCTGTAAGCAACTACGTGTGCACTTAGAACTGAAACTAGGTCCTCTGCAAGAGCAGTCAGTGCTCTTAACCACTGAGCCATCTCTCCAGCCCCTGATGCCAACATGGGATATATAAGACCTTGTCCCCAAAACAACAAACTTGGTGTAATGGAAGAAGCTGTGTTTTAACTTTTCATTTTGGAAAAATTCAAACTTACTGAAAAATTCTAAATGACAATGCCTTAAATAGTCTTCCTCTAGATTAATCAGCCCTTGGCCTTTCATCACTGTGGTTTCCCTCCTCTCAATGTACACACACGTGAGTGCATGCACAATTATACACTTCCCCTCTATTGAAACCCTAAATTGTAACCTCACTGTGTATTCCTAAGGAAAGGATTATAACATTGTTACCAAGTCCAAGAAATTTAACTGACCTAGTGCTAGCATCTAACTAGAAAAACAAATTATCTTAAATGTATCATTTTAAATACCCTCCTCATTAGAGAAAATTGAAATGTGATCACTACAGCATAATACCTGAAGTTGGTCTTGATGAAATCTCATCGGGCCAAATTGCACATCAGCTACTGATACCTGTAAGAAAGAGATTTGCTTCTATTATTTTTCTACTCAGTGTCACAGATAAAAGTAAAATATCTACTCTAAAATTTATACAAATATTAGCTAAGTAAGAAGAACTGCAACCACACTTGAAAACTCCTAGAAGAAATGAAAACAGGAAAGCAGAATGCAAATGTATCTGATCCCAGGGTGGCTGTCTCCTGGCCCGGTAGAACTTCCAGACAATTACTCATCCTTCCTCAGCCACAGTTTCTCATTTGTTACCAAAATCAAGTAAGATTATAATACAAGAGTAGATACTAAATAAACACTGATAGCTCCTATAGACCATTCCCACCTTTTCCTGTAGGATAATGAAATCTTATATCCAAAATGGCACATGAATAAGGCAATCTAGTAATCAGAACAATGGATATCAAAGAAGCTTCCTGAGAAATAGCTGACTCTTCTTTTACAGAGGAGCATTAACCAAGGGGTTAACCCATTCTTAACTATAGAAGACACTGACGTTAAACACCAGACACTAATACACACAGCATCAGGCCTGGGAAGATAGTTCAGTTAGCGAACTACTTGCTGGAAGAGAATAGAGACCAGAGAGCTTCAGCAAACTACATAAAAATCTGGGTGTGTCTGTGATACCAGCACCAGAGAGATGGATTCAGGCAAATCCTGGGGCTCACTGGCAAGCTGGTTTAGCTGAATCAATGTGCTCTAGGTTCATTGAGAACTATTGCTTCAAAAAAGTAAGGTGGAGGACTGTGAGATAGGTCAGCGGGTGGTGGCACTTGCCATGTAAGCCTGACAAACTGAATGTGATCCCTGGCCCCATGTAAATGAGAAGAGAACTAGCTTCACAAGGTTGTCCTCTCATTTCTACAGATGTAACATGTGATGGTATCTGCCCCTCCCCACACACAAACACAGGATATTTTGTAAGTTGTAGATTGTGAAAAAATAGCAAAGGAGAAAGAAATTATATCTGATACCTGTCTTTTGCTAGATTGCTTCAGATGTAATTACTGAGCATTGGTGGCGCATGCCTTTAATCCCAGCACTTGGGAGGCAGAGGCAGACGGATTTCTGAGTTCGAGGCCAGCCTGGTCTACAGAGTGAGTTCCAGAACAGCCAGGGCTACACAGAGAAACCCTGTCTCGAAAAAAGCCAAAAGCCAGCAAGGGGGCTGGGGGAGGAAGAATATGCATACAACAGGAAACAGGTACTAAGTCCTTTGCTTAAGGCCACAAGGCTAGGATGTGGCATGCTTGCCATTATCCCTTCTCTGTTTAGCTCCAAACCTGAAGATGCAAACTCAGAGTCACTGGAAGGTTTGTATAGTCTATGCTTTCCACAAAGAAACCTAAGAGTGGGAGAAGTTGGGGCTGAAACACACACAAACGTATATATATATTGTACAAGTCTTCTACAAAAAATATATATACAGACATATATATTCTAATACATACTCTATACTAGACTTCTGTTCAGAAAGAAACAAAGCCTGGCCTAGAGGAAGAGATAGACTTTAGAATCTAACCTGAGGTTCTCTGTGCTGAATAAATCCCCACCCCCTGGGTGAGGCTGTGATTCCATATATATAATAACCACCCAAAAACTAGATACTTCCTATAAAGTATCTCCTGCCAATCACTCTTCTCAAGCCATAAACCAAGTACAAAAAAATATATAACAAAACATGCTTAAGTAACCCACATATAATTTTAACTATCAAAAGCTGATTGTCCTGGCTAGTTTTATGTCCATTTTATATAAGCTAGGTCATTTGGGAAGAGACTTTCAATTGAGAAAATACCTCCTGTAGGCAGCAAGTCTAAATTAGTGATTGATGTGAGAAGGCCCAGTGGTGTGTTACCACTGTGGCTGGTAACACCCCTGGCCTGGTGGTTCTTGGTGCTATAAGAAAGCAAGCTAAGCAAGCCACAAATGAGCAAGCCAATGAGCAGTGCTCCTCCATGCCTCCTGCATCAGCTCCTGCCCTGACTTCCCTGAATGACAGACCTGTCAGCTGTAAAATAAAGCAAACTCTTTCCTCCCCAAGTTACTTTTGTACATGGTGTTTATCGCAGTGGTAGAAACACTAACTAGGACACCAATATTCACTAATTATGAACCACGGATTAAGTTCCTGATTTGCCTTGTCACTATTTTAGACCTAAGACTGAAGAACAGAAAGCCTTCTGGAAAAGTGAAAGGTAAGGAGCCCAGGTGCAGGAGGAGCCATCGACCGTCCTGGGACGTGTCACCATGGGATCCCATGGTAACAACGGGCACAAATGAATGATAAGCCAGGATTTTTTATTTAAAGAGAATATGGTCCAGGACAGCCTAAATGACCGACTAGGGGAAGATGGCAGTGTGGGAAACAGCAGGAAGCTTTCTTCCTAAGCAATACTGCTCTGGTAAAATGTGTCTAGGATAATCCTATACTTTCAGTCAATTTCATTCTTAGTGCCAGCCTGCCAGACCTAACTCCATGGCACAAGAAAACTGCTAGGACTGGTAAATTAATTCAGCAGCATACAAGCTATAAAAATCAAATACATTACTATACTTAGTAACCTGAAAGGAATGTGGAAAGGACACACTTGATAGAGAAGCGAAAAAAACATTCAGCTGGGGAGACGGCTTGGTTGGCAGATGCTTTCTGTGCCGTGACTGAGGGCCTCAGCTTGGATCTGTGGCATAGAAAGTCGGGCAGGTGGTGTGCGTTGATAACCCAAGTACTGAGTAGGGACAGCAAGACAAGTAGATCCTAGGGGCTCGCTTGCCAACCAGCTTAACTGAAATAGTAAGCGGGTTCAGGGAGACAGCGTCTTAAGAAAAAAAAAAGTAGAAAGGCTGGGTGTGGCAGCACAAACCTTTAATCAATCCCACGCTACACAGTGAGTTCCAGGCCAGCCAGAGCTACACAGGGCTATACAGGATGATGATGATGACGATGATGATGATGAGGAGGAGGAGGAGGAGGAGGAGGAGGAGGGAGAGGAGGAGGAGGAGGAGGGGGAGGAGGGAGAGGAGGAGGGGGAGGGGAGGGGGAGGAGGAGAAGGGAGAGAAGGAGGAGGAGAAGGAAGAGGAGGAAGAGAAGGAAGAGGAGGAGGAGGAAGAGAAGGAAGAGGAGGAGCAGGAACAGCAGGAGGAGGAACAGCAGAAGGAGAGTGACAGAGGCAGTACCAACTGAGACCTCCAGTGTTAACACAGATACACACTCACACACACAAACATACACACACCACATACACACCAAAAACTTCTCACTAAATGCAAATACATCTTGTGTTTATAGATTAAAAGACAACATTACTAAGATGCCAATGCTACCTAAAGCGATCTACATAGTTATCAGGGTCCTTATTAAAATCTCAATGATTTTCCTTTCTTTTCTTTATGGCAGAAAGAGAAATGTACATTCTAGAACTCATATGGAAACTCAGGGGATCGCTAGTAGCCAAAACAATCTTGCAAATGAATGAATGACCTACAAGACTGACATTCCCTAATTTCAAAACTTAATACAAAACTACAGCAGTCAAAAGTCACGTGATGCTGGTGTAGACACTGAGATGAACAGAGAGGTGAGAGAGAGATCTAGCACACATCCTTAAATAATCTTTAACAAAGATGCCAAGACAACTCACGGGGAAGAAGACAGTCTTTTTAACTAATGACGATGGGAGAATTGGACACTCAGAAGTAAGTAACGAAGTTGGTGCTTACCTAACACCATGGTCAAGCACTAACAAAGCTAAGGACCTGAGTGTAAGACACAAAATGTAAACTCATAGAAGAAATCAGAACAAAAGCACTCGATAGTGGATTTAGCAACAATGTCTCAGATGTGACATTAGTGAAACAACCAGCAGCAAGAAAAATGTGCAACAAAAGACAATATTGACAGAGTAAGGTGACTCGCCTGAGGAGAGAAAATATGTGCAAATCATTTGATAAGATTTTTGAGACCCAAAGCATAAGGAACACAACAGTTCAACTGACCCTGACTAAAATGTCCTCTTCCAACCTAAGCAGGCACCAAACATGTATAGATGTGGGCAAAACACTAACAGGTAAAATAAAGTCAATAACTCTGATAAAAGCTTTCTTTAAAAAAGGGTAAAGAACTCCCATAGACATTTCTCAAAGGAGATATAAAAATAAGAAACGCATGCGAAGATGTTCGACATTGCCAATCATTTTTAAAATGTAAATTTTTAAAGAGCTATGTCTTAGTGGTTAAGAGCCCTTCCTATTCTTCCAGAAGACCTAGGTTGAGTACCCAGAATCCACATGGTGGCTCACAACCATCTGTAACTCCAATTCTAAGGAAGCCAACACACTCTTTGGGCCTCTGCAGGCATACATGTGGTGTACATACATGTGTGGCAGCAAACACATACATAACAGAAATAAATCTTAAAACTGACTTAAAATATGGAAATTAAAAGTACAAGAGAGCACCTCACTTCTATTAATATGGCAACTAGTTTTTAAAGCAAAAACTAAGCGTCCATGAGGGTGTAGAGAATGTGGAAAACCTGAGCACTGTTGGTAGAAATATAAAATGGCCCAGCTACAGTGGAAAATAGTATGGCAACTCCACAAAGATCAAAAATAGGACTATCATATGATCTATCTGCTCCACTTCTGGCTTATGCTCTAAAGAACTGGAAGCAGTAATTCAAACCAATAACTATGCACTCATGTTTATAGCACAATCAGTCAGCATAGCTGAAACATGGAAATGACCTAAATATCCATTAGTTGAATGGGCAAGCACATAAATGCAACAGAATGTCCAAGCTTATCAAGGAAAGAAATCCTGACATACTTTAACATGGAAGAACCTTTGGGATAATACAGTAAGTGAAATACAGTCATGAAAGGACCAACTCTTCATGGTTATACTTACAAGATTTTTAGGAGCAGTCAAAACCACAGAGAAAGCAAGGGAGGGCTCCTTGGGGTGGGGAATGGGACACTGATACTGGATGGATTA